CATTGTTGGGTGACAAGTAGCACCTTGAAGCGTACCCGGATTTCCTGACAGGTAGCCAGTGCAGCTCGCGGAGGATACAGCATTCTTTGGCTTACCTTACCATGGAATAGTCCTAATTAACAAGAAAGCACCGCTTACTTTTTCCCCCAACAATGAGCTGCATGCCTTGCATGAATAAACTGTCAGGAAATGTAACCAATTTAAGAAATCCATTTCTGGATTTTAAGCCATTCTTCTGCTTAAGCCATTTTTCTTCTTTCTGCTGTAGTAACCTGATGTTCTACCCAGATATTTACCCCGATGTCCATGATTGCTGAATTCCTTGAATTCATCCAAGCACACACATATAATGTCTCCTATTACTCGGAAGGAAATGGCAGAACTCTTGTCAATTTCCAAAATGGAAGAAAAGGAACTATATTCCATGAATGAGTTCATTAAAAAGGTTCAACTTCTCTGGGAAATGTATCTATTTAAGGGCAGTGATCAATGACTGTGGTGGGGGTGGGGAGCCTCCACTAGTGAAGTGGAGTAAAGAGGTTGGTCTACAGTAGGATGAAGCACAAGAAAATCAGATAAGGCAGCAAGCACTATGGATATGTAGCATAAAAGACAAGCAGGGAGTGACTTCGCATCTGATAGGAGCTGAATACCAGAGGTCATTGTATGTTCCTCCAGCAACAAATGATTCATAGTCATCTCGGTACAAAGTGGTCATGGAAATCAGCTCTTAATTATGGCCAAAGGGTTTCCAGGACAGAGATTGTGACATCTTGATTGTTGCATCCAACAAATTAAGAATTATTTTTTTTTTAAAAAAAGATTCTTTAAATTGGTTTTAGCCAAATTGGGCTATGTCATAGTTCAAGATGCATGGCCATACATGGCAAGTTCAGAATTTCAAAAACTCTTCATTATAATTCAGCTAGAATTCACTTTTGCTGCACAGCTAAGCAATTGGGAAAATCAAGTTTCCTGCTAATGTTTGTTTGAGCTAAATGTTAAAAGGAGATTTAGGCAGCCCTAAACGAAGTGGTTTCAAAGACTGTAGACCCCCCCCCCCCAATTGTAACATATCCCTTGGGAAGCCACATTCTGGTGCACCATAATGTGATTAGATTTATGTGATAATATGAATCCAACCATTCCGGTTTAGTCTTATTGCAAGACACATTTGTTTAACAAATCATGATTTCAAAATCATGGTTTTATACAGAGTAAATCCAAAGGGTTGGGAGTAGCATAAAGGAGAGTAAACACATTAATGAAAAACAAGAGGAAATTATTTATTGCAGTTATTAGGTGACTAAAAGTGCCTTCAAAATTCTTGCAATCTTTCTTTGTTCCATGGATTACTGCCTTCCAAAATCTATATTTGACAGTGCCAGATAAACATTTAAGATTCAAAACAACATATACCTATCCACCCACTTTTTTCTCTTTGTAAGAAAAGAGGTTTAAGAACCTCAGAAGTAAAGCCAGGGAATAATAGAAATAAAATGGAGATAAATTTGCTGTTAGCATATTAAAAAACAAAATTTGTAGAATAACATATACCCAGGAATTTATCAAATGGCAAATGAAAATGAAAACAAATGGGAGTTTTAAATCTATATCTTAAAACTAGAATTAAACATCGTGAAGCAAGGCCCTTTTATTGTATTAGTTCTTACCTGAAGTTTAGGACATCCATGTCTGCTACTGGAAACATGGCAATAACAAATCATTAGAAGCATTCCCCTAGAGACTGACTTCTTATAGGAGGCAAAGTGAAAAGTTCTTAACAGACTAATGGAGTTGGAAGGAACCTTGGAGGTCTTCTAGTCTGACCCTCTGCTCAGGCAGGAAACCCTAAAGCATTTCAGACAAATGGTTGTCCAATCTCTTCTTCAAAACTTCCAGTGTTTGAACATACACTAGCAGGCAAATTGTATCACTGATTAATTGTTCTCACTGCCAGGAAATTTCTCCTTAGTTCTAGGTTGCTTCTCTCCTTGATTAGTTTCCATCCATTGCTTCTTGTTCTGCCTTCAGGTGCTTGAGAGCAGGGGTCACCAATATTTCGGACCTCAGGGACCACTGAATTCATAATTTTAAATCCCGCAGACCACTAATATGATCTGCCTAAAGGGCGTGGCTAAGTGGTCATGTGACTGGGTGGGAGTGGCCAACTCGATGTCACTCACATCGAGTGGTGCCTTGTTGGCCTCTACTTGTCCCTTCCCTCCCAGCCACTCCTCATCTCCCCACCCGGGCTCCTTCAGGCCACAACAGGAAGCAAATGTTGGAGCTAAGCAGCCACCATGAGGAAAAGTTGGCAAAATAGCTGGCTCAGTTCAAATTGGCTCCGCAGAAGCACCTCACCAAGGACTACAAGCATAGGCTTTCCAAGCAGAGGGAAGACCTGTGGGAGTGCAAGGCCAGGTACTGTGCCTGGAGGCTCAGCAGGCTAAGATGATCAGCCACTTCCAGACCATGATGCTCTCCCACTGGAACAAGGCCCTCCGGTTCTTTGCCCTCAGCAGCACTTCCCTTCAGCCTTCAGAAGCCCCTCATCAGAAGGCTGAAGCAGACCACAAATAGGAATTTCTGCCCTCCCTCCGACCCGCACAAAAAGACCATGAAGGGGGAGACTCTCTGCAGCAATCCTGGCATGGACAAATGCAAGGAGCTGGCATGGGACCACTGCAGCCCATCCTCCAGCAGCAGAAGAAACCTCAAGGGAGCTCAGGATCCAGTTGTGAGAAGTCCCATGCTCCTTGGAAGATGGGGAAGAAGCTTTCCTGTTTGCTGGCCTTCCACTCTGGCCTACCTTGGCAACTGGACCATTTCTCTCTGCCCTCCTTTTCTGTTTTGTCTGCTGGATCAATGCAGGGAGACGTCAACCTAGCTTCACATTGGGGTGCTGTCGGTGCTGGGTTCCTGCCGGTTCTAACCGGTTCGGTAGAAGTGGCCAGCAAGCCACTCCCACCCAGTCACATGGCTGGTGAGCCACTCCCACCCGGTCACATGGCCAGCAAGTCACTCCCACAAAGCAGGCCACACTTACAGAAGAGGTTCTAAAAATTTTTGAAACCCACCACTGGGTGCTGTGTGCCCAGACCAGGTGTTTTCTCTCTGCCTCCTGCCCATGTCTTCTTCTGCAAGGCTTCCAGGCAGGAGGCCTGAGAGAAAGCACCTGTTCCGGGCACACAGCCTTCCAGGAACCCCTTTTGTGTTCCTTCTCTCAAGGAGAAGCTTTGTGGTCGATCTGAGTGAAGAAAAAAGATGGGAAGACTGACAGTAGCTTGCTGACATCGGTGGGAAAGTCGGTCCCATATTCCAGAGTTCTAGTCACAGGACTGGCCTATTGGTCATCCCTTGAAACAGTCTGCTTGAGTACAACTTTAGTGTCTCCTACATTAAAGATCAAGTATGGTTGTGTCACCAAATTTCAATTCAACTGAAATAGGGAACATTCGAAAGCATGTATATCTAATATTTTTGAAGGAGAAAGGTAGTCCTTAACTTACAACCATTTGTTTAGAAATCACTTGAAGTAACAACAGTGCTGGAGAAAGTAAGTTATGACCGGTCCTTGAACTTATAACTGTTGCAGCATCCCCATAATCATGTGTTCAAAATTTCGGCACTTAGCAATCAGCATGGTTGCAGTGTCCTGGATTCATGAGATTGCCAGTTGGCTTCCATCAAACCGTCAATGGGGGGAAACTGAATTTGCTTAACAACTGTGTGATTCACTTACCAACTGCAGTGATTTGCTTATAACAAAAAGATTGTAAAATCACCTGGGACAAGTGTCTTGCTTAGCAATGGAGATTCTGGTCACACACAACTGTAATCGTTAGTTGAGGACTATTTTTGTGCATATGATATGGACACAAACCATTTGCTTCTATTTCTGACCTTTTATTAAGTAAAGTGCCCAGAAACAGAGTCAAGCATTTTTTTCAAAATCAAGAAATAAACACATAATACCTAGTCCAAGTTCCTTTCCCATCTTAACACATTACCAAACTGTCCCACAAATGCTCATTTTGTGGGCCTGGTCATGAAGCTGTAGGTGCCAGGTTAATCAAAGCCTAACTGGAAGACTGGAAGAACAACTAACTCTTTATTCCCCCTTACTGGTGTTGAATCAGACTGCATGCCCCCAGGGGTGAAATTCAGCAGGTTCTGACAGGTTCTGGAGCTGAAATTTTGAGGAGGTTGGAGAACCGGCAAATACCACCTCTGGCTGGCCCCAGAGTGCGGTGGGAATGGAGCCTTTGCAATATCCTTCCCCTGCCATGCCCACCAAGACACGCCCATAGAACCGGTAATAAAAAAAATGAATTTCACCACTGCAAGCTCCCCAAAAGCCCTTATTAAAAAATCTCCACACTTCACTTTAGATCTCAACTTCAAATGGGATCTTCACCACGGAAAGCCAGCTGCTGTATCCTCTGCCAGTCCTGGATAAATTTCAAGGTTAGACCAAAGGAAACTGATATAGTGACCGGAACATATTCTGAAGCTACACAAAATACATGGTGGAGATTAGGCACAACACTTACCTGACCCCACTCTGGCCAGCTGTCATAAACAAGACACCCGAAGAGCCAGTTTCTTTACTGAATGAATTTATTGTTTCTGAACTAAAGTTGTTCACAGTTATTTAACAAGGGATACATCAGAAGGTTCCTCTTTGTCCTTTGGAACTGTTAAATAATATCAGATTGTGTCCACGAGTGTGTGCAGGTGTATGCATGTGTCATCCAAGTACAAAATAGGAAGGATAACAAGAGGTATTGCTTTCATTTATTCTTATGTCTTGTGTAAATGATCTCCTTCCTGTGTGTACTATATGGGCTATTATTGTTATTAATATTATTATTATTTGAAATCCCAGCCTTTTGTAGAGGTACAAGTTAACAGAAGCCTTAAAAGCTATACATAAAGGAAGAAAAACCAGGGAAACAGACTGAGGGCGGTGGAAGAGAAGCTTTGGAGAGAATGAAGGAGAAAATGGAGGCAGAAAAGACAACAGAAGCAAGAGAGAATAATTTACAGCAATATCATGCAATTAAAACTGCCTCCAGAACTCTACATTCTCACCTCCCTCTGTCCCCAGCCACCACCCTACCAAGGTCGAACATGCACACAGCAATAGAAGAGAAAAGGTTAAGATTAGGAGAACCAAACCAAACCACAACAAAAAAAACACCTTCCACTTTTGTGGATCTTTTTCAAAATATTGGTGGTTGCTTTTTTCTTCAAACCTATATACAGGGGAAAAAACAGGTCCAATAAGGGCAGAATGAACCAGGACAAACATAGAAATAAAAATAATAGGAAAGAAACACAAACAGTGAAAGAGAAATCTAATATTAACATTAAAAAAATATTGCAGTTTAACACACATTTATAGGAACCCAAACAATAGCAATTGAAGATAATAAGGGGACTGAATACTAACTCTACATTTAAAACATACTGGATTTTAGAATCTTGCCATCTTCTTTTTTGCCTGTCATTTATGGTATTTTAAAAATCTTCCTCTCCAGCTAGACTTGGAGAGAGAGAAAGAGAGTGAGAGAGTGAGAGTGAGAGAGAGAGACATCAAATGAAAAAGAAGAAAAGGAACATTGGTGAGAGGAACAAGTTGTGTTCTTGTTGAAATTCCACCCCCTCCCCAAATAAATACAAATCAATGTCACCTCTATTCAGTAATGAAAGCAGAAGATATATCTAACATCTTAAAATTTTAAATATATTTATATATATACATATATATTTATATTTATATATATGCATTATAAATAATAACCAAGACCTAATAATAACTTAACTACACAGAAAATCCAGCCCACTCATCCTTCTTCAAAAACAAAGGGGGGAAAAACCCAAAACAAATATAAAAATATCTTGCAATACTTTTAAAAGTTTACAGTAGCTTTGTGTTGAACTCGTCCATAGTGCTATCTCCTCCATATTTTGTTCGAATGAAACTATGTACCAGTGGCTATACACACAGGCACGCACAAAGGAAAAAGGGGGGAAATCTATTTCTCATCTCATAGTCGTCTTTCGCATTAAAAAAACAAACAAACCCAAACGTACATACACAACCCAAATAAATAAACAAAACCAGCAAATAAATAATACTGATATATCAATGCAGCACTAATGACACCATAATTGCATCCAGATGTGTGATGTAGCAGATAATTCAGCCGGCCGAAGGGAAATTCCAATGTGGAAGGAATGGTCTGAGAAAGGAGGTCAAGAAGAGAAGAAGTCCTAATAGCGGTGGCGATGACGGTGAAGGTGGTAGCCAGAGCAGAGCTTGGCCGCAGGTGAGGCTGTGCCTCAGAATTGGATTCTTGTCCTTTGTCCTTGATGCCGATAGTGGCTTTTCCCTAAGATTCAGTGTCCATGTTTGCTTGACTGTTTCCTTGTATTTTTGTTTCCCTCAAGTTTATGGCTGCCTCTCCAGCCAATTGAAAAAAAAAATACAAACCAAGCCGATTTGAGATTACAAAAACACAATTTGAAAAACAATTCGGATGGGAAGAAAGAGATGGAAGGGGGGATAGTTCTTATAAAAATCTTAATATGGAATGAGAACAATATGCCATTTTATTCCCTACCCTCCTCCCCCACACGCTCTCCCAGAGTCTAGTTTCACCAGGAGGAAAGGGTGTAGTAGTCACAACCAACGATGCTTTCCTGGAATTCCAACTGTGACAGGTTGCAATTTCTCAGCTGTTCTCCGCACAGAGCACCAAAAGAAAAATTGTGTGTTGAGGGAAAATGGAATGGAGGAGACCCATTTCCTACAGTGGGAGACAGGAGGCTGGAAGTTTCCCCTAACCCCCCCAAAACCAGTCCGTGGACAGTCTTACATCACTGGCCTTCCGTGAACAAGCATTTGCGGAGCACAGAAGGTGAAGATGTTGGCTGACATGTTAACTTTTCGGGATAATTCCTGGTAGTAGATTGGAAACAAGCGGTGGTATCAGAAACACAGAGAGAACACAGGAATATAATGGGGATGGTTGAGTCAGAAGCGGGGGATGTATTACGGTGAGGGGGAGGAGTTATTGCAAGGAAAGTACTGGGAGGAGGAAACAAAACCCAAACAAACAGGATTTGCCAAAATGGGCTTGTCAATTGTTACTCTTTTTTCCCCTTTTATATGTCTGTGTGAGTGTCTATGTGCATGTGTGTGTGTGTGCATTATTTGTATAGGTATCATATAAATCTATATATGTATATGTGTGGATTATATATATTTACATGTGCATGTATATATATAATTTTTAAATATATATATATTTATATATATATGTATGTATATATATACACACATTGTTTTTCCATACAAAATTTTACTATAGACAGTTTTGTCCTATGGTAGCACTATTATATACACCCATCTAGTTTAGAGGCTAAAGAATACTCATTCATTTGGGGAGCTTTTCTTCACTTTTCTAGGTGATTTTTAATTGGATTGACTTAATTTTTTTCCGCTCAGTGCATTTATTTAAGGTTGGTCTTGTAAGCCGAGTGATGAGGCCATCTTTGCCTTCTCTTTGCCAGCGGGGAACTTAGTGTCTCCTCTAGACCCATAGTCATTTTTATCGGAATCGCTCCGCTTGCTGTTTGTACTATGCTTGGTTGGCGTGCCGGGGGGATGGCTCACCTGCCCGTTCTTCTCGTCTGAAAAAAGTTGTTTAATTACGTCAAAGAAGTTACTCAATGGGCTGCCTGGGTATACAAAACAGAGGAGACAAAAACAAAAAGAAAACAAAGAAAGCAAGAGAGAGAGAGAAAAGAGAGAAAGAGAGAGAGATAAAGGGAAGAGGAAGAAAAGAGAACAAACAAACAAATGAACAATGGGGTTTTAAACAAGAAGAACATGATGAGCGGTCCAGAGCCACGTGCATGGGGGTGTGTGGAGGATGAAGACAATGAGTAAAAAAGGAAGAGCATCAGGAAGGGAGCACCGCCTTAAGCGTATGGAAACTCAGGCCCCATTGGGTAGCTGGAATCCTGCCCTGTTCAGCAAGTATGGAATATTTCTCCAGCAAAGCTATTGCAAGGCATTATGCAGGCTGCTATGCGGCAGAAAATCACCCTGGGCTTGTATACAATTCTTCTGAAATTAACTTAACTGAAGTGAGTCATGAATAATGGAACCTACGCATGCTGACTAGGAATTCCATTCAATTGAATTCAAGGAACCTTACATGCAGGCAAGTGTGCTCAAAGTAACTTAATTATCTCTATTAATTAGATTATTAATTTCGAAGAGAGGAGATCCGTGTGCGTAAAGGAGGAACACGCAAATCTGGTTCTCCTTTGAAATGAATTTTGCACCGCTTGTTAAAAAAAAAAAAAAGCATTCCTAACCATTTTCTGTATGAGTACTTTATTTCGTGCTTTAATAATGCTACTGAACCTGATTTGCCAGTCTCTGTCATCTGCTGCAAACCTGAAGCGCTCTTTAGATTTCATAGAATCCATATGCATCTGGCAAAATGCACAGGAATGAAGGCAACGAAACCCACACCTACAGACATAATGCATTCTATGAACTACAGAGATGCCCTCTGCCTCTTCATTTCATGACTAAGTCCCCAAATCTTATTGGTGTGGTAGACTGTATTCAGCAACCCAGACATGCCATTGTGGTGGTAAAAGGCCCCTCTCTCCCCCACATATGAAGCTGCATTTGCTACCAACCTTAGCTTGAAAACTGAAAAAGCTAAGCCAAACTGGTTGATATTGGGACAGGACATGGTCTGGAATTACCAGGGCTGCCAGCTAGACTGGGAAAGATAAAAAAAAAAAACATCCCAAAAGAGGGGCAGTGGTAATATTTGTCTATGGTTGTCAAGAAAAAAAAACAAACAGGCATGAAATCACTAAGAGCTAAGCTTGACTTGAAGAGGAGTTGTTTGTTTGACCTCAAAGGCGATTCCCCTGAATAGTTGAAATTTGAGCAAAATATAGTTAGGAAAAGTTGAATTTTGTTTGTAAGCTGCTTGGGCAATTCCATTCCTTGGGACAGAACAGACAGATATAAGTATTTTTTAATGAAGTTAGTAAAGGTTTGAATCCATGCTATCTCAAAAACCTGCACTTAAAGCAGGTGGCAGCTGCTATGGTGCTCAGCCACTTTCCTTGTCTTTGTTGAGACAAGAAAGTGAAAAATACAAATCTGATCACCCATTCAACTTGGAGATGATGTAGTAACAGGGCATTCATTGAATGAAATTTCTCACTGAGATTTGTTTGAAATCATTGATTTTTTTAAAGAAAAAAATGCAACATTTAAATAAAGATTGGACAATATTATACTAGTGTAAAGCAATTATTATACTAGTGCAAAGCAATTATTATACTAGTGCAAAGCAATTATTATACTAGTGCAAAGCAATTATTATACTAGTGTAAAGCTGCTGCAAATACAAGAAGATTCTCATTGTAAGGTATAGTATTGTAGGAAAATTAATTCAACCAGAGAAGCATCTATATTAATTTGTTATTACAAAAGTAACTCAAAAGAAATCAGGAAAATTTATTGTTGACATTAATGCAACAGTTTCTTTTGAATACTTTTCCAAATGACTATGTCTCTTGAGGCTTTATTTTTTGGAGATGCATTTTAATAGATGCATGTGCACGGTTTTGTGCTGATTTATAGCAGGAATGAGTTAAAAATCATGTCACTATCTCATCTGTGAAATATAAGTAGGTGAGTACAGTGAATAAATAATAATCTAATCCATAACAAAGCAACAGAAAATGACACAATTGAGACAATCCAGTAAGATATTAATATTATCTTATTCTGTGGAGCTAACTGCATATTCTATCTGTGTTACTTGCCCTTTTCAGATTTAGGTGGCTATTTCAAAATACTGAAACGCAACAGTATATTTTTTATTGAACAAGTCAGAAAGCTACTGAAATAAATAAGAGACCAAAGGCAATAATATTAAGATATATTTTGAGTATATGTTGAATAGGCAGATAGTAATTTTGCTATTTTACAGGATTTTAGGGGATATTTTCCTGGATGCATTTCATAAGCCAGAATACCTTCCTTTAGTTAATAAAACTAAACAAGCTAAAAAAAGAGTAATAAAACTACAAAAAAGGAAAGCAACACAACAAAATGATATAAGGGCTCTATATATAGAGTATACCAAAAGTCAGACCCCATAGACCAGGGGTGTCAAACTCGCAGCCTGTGGGCTGGATGCATCATGCGCTGGCCCCACCCCACCCCACCCCTGGTTTAGCGAAGGGGGGAAAGTCCCAATACGTCACGTGATGCCGCCGTGATGACGTGAGTTTGACACCTCTGCCATAGACCAATAGACAGTATAGGAGACCATCAGATTAGAATTTCTGAATACCAAAGAAAATGTCACTGAAGTTAAAAAATTTCAAATGCCAAGCATCACACAAGTAAGGAAATGTCTTTTAAAAATGGCAATTGATTGGGACACTGTTTTGGTACACCCCATATTTTTGTCTACATAATAAATTAAATAAAAGAGGGATTAATTTTATTGTAACCAACCATCTATAAGCAACTTCTTCATAAATCTGAAATAATACCAGATTTTTAAACTGCTGAATAACTGGGGTCATAAATTTGTCTTTCCAAAACTAGTCTCTTAGGAAACTAGGAGTTTATTTAGGAAAACATGGAGAATCCACAGTGGAAATGGAATATATTTATTTATTTAAAAGATTTATATGGCCGCCAATCTTAAACAACCTTGGGCAGCTTAGAACAGCCATAAAATGCCTAGCTGTAGTTTTTAGTGCAACTTGAATCATGTTAAACATTGATAAATGTTTGCATGTATTAAGACTAAACACTTGACCGACTGATTTCAGATGATGGGACCTTTCTCTAATACACAGCAAAAATAGGCGAGAAGGTTAATTCCTACGATAAATGCCTATCCTCCACAGTCACCTTTTCCCCCCAAAAAACAATCAGACAGATAAAGAATTGAAGATGATGAGTTTCATGAAAGCCTTATGTATAAAAATGATTATATAGCAGGAATAATAAATAAGGCATAGCAACTTCCTGTATCTCAGAATAGCTTACTTGGGTACCTGCGTGGCTGTGGACCCTGTATCTTTATATGCAAAATGAAACCAATCAACAGAAAGTGTGAAATAAAACTGGTAAAACACTGTAAGTGTTTTGGGGAAGGCAAGAGAATATTACACATTTCTAAATTTTCTAAGATATGCATTCAGCAAGATCAAAGAGAAAAGGGAGTGCAGAAGAAGCATAGAAGAAAGCATGGACATTGAGCTCCACCCATAGACCAAAGCAAAAGACAAGGGCAAACGAAAAAAAGGCAGGATATTTGCTTAGAGGCTTCAATGTAATGTTAATATTTTAATCTGGATAGAGGATCTATATTTTCCTCTTTTTTGCTCTGTAATTTATCAATCCTATGTGATGCTTGTTCTTTTTCAACAGGAAAGGTTCACATTCATTGTGCCTACTGTGATGACTTTAATTAGAGCAGCTAACTGATTCTTGATAGAGCTTGTGAAATGTTGATGAAACAACGATCCAAGGGAGAGAGGAATCATTAGGGAGTCAGAGATGGCAGCCCTTCCATTTGACTTCTCCACAGTACCCGAATTGAGAATAAAATAAATATCTTTTTGGAAATGGCCAGTCCTGGTTGTAGCAGTCACAATTACCGATATTAAATTAAATTAGAAAGCTAAGCAGGATCAGCCTTGCTTAATTCTTGGAAGAGAGACTACTGAGAAATCTCAGAATGTGACAGTAAAGTTGGAATTAAATATCTCAGAAGAAGGCCGCAACAAGCCACTTTCATTGCTGCTAAGAAAACAATATGGATATGCATATATAATTACTAGGAGCTGAGTTTGACTCAAACAAATCTCTACCTTATGTCCTTAGAAGTAAAC